AATTTTTCACTGCCAGTATTTATTGTAACTTACACACTTTGCTCTTCCAATGGTCTGCACAGGCTCTTTTTAAGAGGCAAAACTTTCAGAAGTACCTAGTGAAAAAAGCATTTCTCATTTCAACCATCTTACCTTCAGTTTGTCTTTTTATACCAAAGTGTTAGGTAATGCTGACTCAACAAGTTCGGCAAGTGTGGGCTGGGGTTTTCTTGTTTTTTCACTTCTAGACCCTTCCAACTTTGATAGGTATGTTGTAGTAACCAGAACCCTTCTGCCTCCGCCTCTGGAGTGCTACGATTACGCGTGCCACCATGCCTGGTGAACCTTTTCTGACAGTACCTGGTATATATGATATTTTTAAATGTGACTTTGTAGTTTGCTTAGAAAGCTTTTCATGATGGAAGCTTAATACGTGGTGGTTACTATTTGAGAAAGTACAGACAGGGAAGAAGTATTTTACATGTGCTGAACTTTTTTCCTTCAGTACTTTTGACCCATACTACAAATTAAGTGTTTTGTGTTATTTGTTCAGTGAAGAAAAGAAACCTGCACTTTCAAGGAAGAAATGATCATTCTTAGGCTGGTAATTAATTACCCTTGAGCTGGGGCAGGAGAATCTCCAGGCCAGCTTGAGGAATTTGGCAAGACCCTGTCTCAAAAAAAGTAAAAAGGGATGGGAATGATGCTCAGTGGTTGAGTGTTAGTTCCTGGGTTCAATCCCAACTGCAAGGGGGAAAAAAAGGCCCTTCTTTTCCCTATTCTCTTTCATGCTTTACTTCAAATAAAATTTTGTATACAAAAGACTCCTGGAAAACATCCTAATAGTTTTTTAAATTTGTTTGTTTTGTTTTGTTTTTTTTTTTTGAGGGTCTCACTATGTAGCTCAGTGGCCTTAAACTCACTATATAGCCTAGGCTGACCTCAAACTCACAGTGATCTTCCTGCCTCAGCTTCCTGAATGCTGGAATTACAGGGGTGCATCACCACCCCAAGCTCCTAATACATTTTGACAAGGAAACAATTTTCAAAACTTATAAGCCAAGACGCTGAGGTTATATAAACCTATGTTCTCTTAATTTTAAAATTGCTTGCTTCTTTAATGTTACCTTGTAGGGTCGGCGATATAGCTCAGTGGCAAGCGCCTGCCTGGCAAGCACAAGGTCCTGAGTTCTATCCCGGTTTCAAAAGTAATAATAATAATAATAATAATAATAATAATAATAATAATGATGTTACCTTGTATAAAAAAAACTAGAGAAGTAACAACATGAAAAAAAGCCAAATACAAGAACAGAAAACAATTCATGAAACAATGGAAGATTAAATCACAGTATCTACAGTAGCTAAACAAGTGGCTGCTGTTTGAAGATAGGAAATATTTTTACATTTTCTGAAGCTAAATCTAAGAGTTTTAAAGTTTTGATGTCAAGTCCTGCTGTGGCCATGAAATTTTAAAATCTCCCTCAAATGAAAATAAAGAGACTAAGCACTGGGACAATCTGTTTTGATATGCAGAGTCCCAGTTTATCTTTTTAACTAAAAATAATTTTGGTAAAAGTTAATATTTTACACTGTATAAGGAGAAAGAGGAGGTAAAGGGAAAGTAAAAAGAATCAAGATGTGTCATATGCATGTACCAAACACCCCATGACAAACAGAAACATTATGTACTGCAAATATGTACTAATAAAAATTTTGTTAAAACAGATTTGTCTTAAGTTTTTATCATTTATTAAAAACTTGGATTTTGTTCTGTCTGCTTATCACTCATTTTTAAGACTCTTTTTAAAAATAAATACAGGGGTGAAATAGCACCAGGAAATTGCTGTCAATTTCTGTATTTTATATTTCACCCTAAAATTCACCCTCAAATCCAGAACTGCTGACAGTAAAAGACCAGTTCAAAGACCAAGTAACTACTCCCAAAGAAAACGAGTATGTTTCCTAAATGCTAATATTAACTTCAAGTCCTTAAATTAAATTTCAAGTCCTTACCGCCAGGCGTGGTGGCACATGCCTGTAATCCCAGCACTCGGGAGGCTGAGGCAGGAGGATCGTTGCCTGTTCAAGGCCAGCCTGGGCTACAAAGTGAGCTCAAGGCCGGCCTGAACTGCATAGCGAGACCCTGTCTCAAAAAGACAAAAAAAAAAAAAAAATTCAAGTCCTTAATATTAATTAGCCCTCAAATGTAATATTAATTTCTACAGGTGCTGATCAATCAATGCACAAAATAGCACTCTGCAAGTAATTTAAGGCAAAAGGATACTTTAAGTGAACTGCAAATTAGCTAAGAATGAACACTTTAATAACAGTACATTTTACATAAACTAAGTAACATGTATTTGATAGCTCTTCCAATACCTTGTCTGAAAAGTGTAACTCAGAACATTTCACTAGCATATTACAAGGACTTACTTAGTAAGCAAGTATTCCATACTCGAGTGTCTGACGCTGTGTTTGTTTTGGGCTTTTATTTCAACTTTTATTTTCTATTAGCATATGTTTGCAATAGATAATGATCAATTCCTCTTGAATTGTCAATTTTTCAACCCCCCTCCTCTTTTGGTCACTAGTTTAGTGGTACTGGGGATTAAACCTCAGGTCTTCACACAGATCTACAGCCCCAGCCCTTTTTTGTGTGTGTGGTAACTTCTCACTGAGTTGCTAAACTGCCCAGACTGGGCTCAAACCTGGATGCTCCTGCCTGGGCCTCCCAGAGTGCTGAGACTACAAACATGCCTGGCTGATTTTTCTTTTAAAAGCAAAAGAAAATTCCACAGCCTCAGAGTAATACACTTATACAACCCACTAGTAGCTAGTAATATAGTTTTGGGGCTGGAGATACAGCTCTGCGGCACAGCACTGCCTGACAAGCACAAGGTTGTGAGTTCAATTCCTGGTACACACCCCCCCACACACACACACACCTTAATATAGGTTTTTGTTGCTGTTGTTTTGGTCTTTTTTGAGACAGGGTTTCACTATACAGTTCATGCTGGCCTTGAGTTCAATTTGTAACCCAGGTTGGTCTCAAACTCGGAACAACCCTCCTGCCTCAGCCTCCCAAGTGCTGGGATTACAGGCATGTGTCACCACGCCCAGCTTACTAATATAGTTTTGAAACATCTCCTTAAAACCAGTAACAAAAACAGTATACTGAAAATTGTCTCTCAGTATACTGAGAAACATCATATGGCCTGTACAGGAAATTATCTGTAGTCTCAGTTCAATAACTTGATAAGAATAATGCATCTATATGCTTATAAATACTAAAAATTGACAAAATATTGAAAGACTTGGCTCCTTTCAAGTTATAAGCTTAAATTTCAAGACTCAATTATTTAAGTTCCCTTTTGCAGATTTAAAACACCAGGCTGAGGTGAAATGAGGTGATTCAAACACACTTACCGAACTTGAAATGTAGGAAATAGTAAATTATTGTGAAATGTCCTTTATTCAAGCATGATACACTGAAAGTACATGAAGAATACAATAAAAGTGATGCGATTATGGATACTTGAGGATCCCTATCTTTCAAGCATAAAGTTAAGGTGTACAGTCTGACAAGGACTAAAGGGAACGGTGCAAATAAGTACTTAAAATTTAACTACCCAAGAAAAAAACACACATACAGTTGAAGCAAGTATTTTTAGATTCAGTCAGCAAAAAAAGTCTGTATGAACACCTAAAAGTTAGAATCGCTAAGAAACAATTCAGTCTCTTCTGTGTTAATTAATCCCTCTAGCAACGAAGAAAGTTACTCTCTTTTCTACCTACATCCAATTAATCAACTTCACAGACAGACTTTCCAACTCGGGGATCTAGAATTCCCAGAAAAACACAAAATGGTCAGTAAATACAAAAAAGTTCCACGTTCAGCACAGAAAGGAAATCCACAAAGGAGAAACTGTCTGACAGCCTCTTTCCCCCCAGAGCCCTTTAATCTGCTGTATACACATTTACTGCTGAAGTACACTCTATTCTGGGCGCACGGCTCGACGGACCTCCTGCACCCAAGCCCTAACAGGGAAGCAAGCACCCGCCACCCGACTCCGGCAAACGCGAAGATCGAAGGAATTGTTGGAAACTGACGTCCGCGGCACCGGGAGTTTGAAAGAAGGGTAAATAAACAGCGCAGCCGCGTGCGAATTTGCCCAAAATACATAAATCATTGAAAGGGTAGCAAAACGGGCAAGAAGTTAGTTGGAAGGCTAGAGGGAGGCGAGGCCGAGGTCCGCTTCTGACAGGACGGCGCGGCGGGCTGAGCAGGCGAGGACCCGCGCATGGGGGAACGCGGGGAGTCCTCCCCGAGACCCGACCCGGCCGCGAGACGCCAGAACGCGGAGACGTGGCTCCGAGAGGACACGCGGGGGTGGGGCCCGCCCCGCTGAAGCCCGCGTCCCTCAGTGAGCTTTCCAAGGAGCCTCGCAGCCTGGCAAAGTCAACGGGTCCGCGGAGGCCTGCACCGGCCGGGCAGCGCCACGGCCAGGGACGCGGCGCCGCACGCAGGGTCCGGCTCGGAGGCCCCGGCGCCGGCCCTCGGAAAGTCCGGGCAACCCCGGGGCTCCGGGCCGCTCCGGGTTCAACCTGCCCTCTCCTCCCACCCCCTACAGGCTGGGACCGGACCCCAGGGACCGACAGCAAGCTTGCGGCCTTACGCTCCCGGCAGCGGCGGAGCAAAAGAAACAATATGCTCTTTGTGCCGCGAGTGACACTCACCGGCCAGAAACCTCGAATGTAACCAGCAGCTTCGGGGGCGGCGGCAGCAGTGGCAGCAGGAACCGAACATTCAAAATGGCGGCTCCCTCGGCCGCACCACCGCTACTGCAGGCGGAGGGATCCTTAGGAGAAAGGGAGTTTCTAACTAACTTCGCACGCCCCAGCAGAAACTTTAGCGCCTATCTCCCTCTCCTTGTCCACCCCGCGTTCCCTGACTGCAACTTCTCACGCCTCCTCCCTCGGATTACCCAAGAACTCGGACCCCGTCGAGGACTACTTGCCAAGGAGGAGGCGACTGCTCCAGGCAGAGCGACGCAAAGCGTAGCAAGGGTCGGGGCTGTCACTGATGACGCTAGACGCGGCTGCCGAGTCACCGCTGCTAAGAGTCTGGGAAAGAAAGATCCGGCCGACCTGGGAGTGGAAGCACTTTGGTTCCGCTTGGGGGGAAGGGAGATTGAGCTACCAGGAAGCGATGGTACCACCTGAAGAGGGCGGGGCTAGGTAAAGTAGTCGGGGACCTGGGAGAGGTGAGGCCGTAGGGGATTGGCAGCCCTGAACCAGACCGAGCTTGTCTTAATCCGAAAGAACTCCGAAGTCGTGCCTGATACCTCTGATACATTAGCTGGTCTTCAGTCTCTGAAACGTGCTCCAGGAGGTCTTGGAGTCAATGGTTTTATGGATTCCGAGTCCGGTACTGCCCCTCTCCGTTTTGTCTAGTCGCTACAACTCTTCAAATCCTGTTTCCTTATAATGTGAAAAGGGGGAGGACTGGGACTAATGATCCCTAAAATCCTTTCAGAATAGGCTTTCTGTCTATGATTCCTTGAACTACTGACCTGAGCCAAAGAGAGCCCAACCGGACAGTTCCTGGCTTGATAAATAATTACTGACAAGTGACAGGAGGCTTTTCCATTTGAACATAAAGCGGTCCTTGATATCTTGGCCCATTTAAAGGAAAGGTGACCTACCTAGACTAAAATACTTCCGATAGCCCGGTAACAAAGCACTTCTGAAAGAGAATAAAACTGCGCCCGACTGAATGCTAGAGAAAATCTATCAAACCACCCTCCTGAGTTTAGGACCTGAGTGTCAGAAAGAGGAAGTTGCACGCACCATTTTTTCTAGGCAGTAGTTTTCATGCAAGGGTTTCAAAACACTTTACAAAAAATGAACTGGATATGCCCAGCCACACAGTTTTGTCCTTGAACTTCTGGGGCCTGCCAAGGGACTGGAAAGAAAGGAGGCCCAGAGTGAGATAATGAGAATTATCGTTTTTATTAATAGATAGTGATATCACATTGTTCATAAAGCACCTTTATATGTGTAATCTAATGTGACCCTCTGGAAAATCTCCTGAGTCAGTAAATAATTTAGTCTTACAGGGGCTGGGGATTTAGCTCAGCGGCAAAAGCGCCTACCTGGCATGCACAAGGACGTGAGTTCGGTTCCCGGTACCAGAAAAAAACCAAAAAAAAAAAAAAAAATTTAGTTTTACAAATAAGGAGACTGAAAGCCGGGCATGATGGCTCAGGCCTGTAATCCTAGCACTGAAAAGTCTGAAGCAGAAGATCACTTGGGAGTTTGAGGCCAGCCCAGGTTACCTAGTGATTGAAGGCCAGCCTGAACTCACTGGAGGCCCTGTCTCGAAACAAGAATAACAAAAAATAAAAAAATAAAAAAATTAAAAAAATAGATAGATAGATAGACAGATAAAAGAAGGATACATACATACATGTACAAACAGGGAAACTGAGACCCAAAAACTGTGACTTGCTGAAAGTCTTCCTCATCCACTGGATTTCTCAAAATAGGAAACCACAGCGACTACCACGCCCATCACGCGCATGCTCAGGGTGGGATCAACCCAGAGCAAAAGGTCTAGAGAGAATGCTATGGAATTCAGGCCCTCTTTCCCTCTGTAGCACTTTGGTACAGTGCAGCCCTGGATTACACGGTTAGTAAAGCGTGGAAAGTACCAAAAATGGCGTCATTCAGATACCTATGAGCGTTGGCTATGCGTGGAAATATGCCAAATTCAGTTTGAGGTTTCCATTAAAGTAAGAAGCTTGCAGGTTGCAAAGCAGGATTAGCTAAAGTATTCTATTTTGGAACATCACAAAAAATTGCTTAGAGGCCAAGATTAAGTGTTTACCATTGCAAACCACAGAAGAAGAGAAAATCCACGTTCTTAAGGAGAGGAATGGCAGAGTATTAAAGAGAAAATGGCAACGTAAACCCTCTCCAGGTATTGTTTTGTAACTTACATTTTCCTTTATTTGAAAATAAAACCTTCCAAATAAAAGCTTCTGCACAGTAAAGAAATCTACCAACAGTGAAGACACAACACGCAGAATAGCAAAAAATTTTTGCCAACTACTTCTTAAAGGACCAATATCTAAAATTATGAAGAACTTAAAAAAAAAAACCAAATTCTTCCAAATTTAAAGACTAAGTCAAAAAATAGGCATCTGAAATAGACACCTCTCAGATAAAGAAGCACAAATAGCCAATAAATACTTTTTAAAAAGTTTAACATCTTTGGTCATTCAAGAAATGCAAATTAAAACAACACTGAGATTCCATCTGACTACAGAAAGAAGGGCTATCTTTTAGAAATCAAGGAATAGCAAATGCTAGAGAGGCTTCAGGGGAAAAAAGAACCCTTCTTTATTGCTGATGGGAATGTAAAGTACTACAACCACTATAGAAATCAGTATGGAGATTCCTAAAAACACTAAAACTAGAAATTCCATTTCACCTAACTATTCCCCTTCTGGGTATCTTCTGCAAAGAGTGAAAGACATCATATTGCAGTGATACATGCATACCCGTGTTTATAGCAACACAATTCATAATACCTAAATCTTGGGAGGAGCCTGTAGGTCTATCGACAGATGAATGGATAAAGAAAATGTGATATTTATACACAATGGAGTACTACTTACTCTACCATAAAGATAAACTTGAGTCAATTGCAGAAAAATGATACCTTGAAATCATAATGTTTTGGGGAGTTGTTGTTGTTGTTTTGTCTTTTTGAGACAGGGTCTTGCTATGCAGTTCAGGCTGGCCTTGAGCTCACTTTGTAGCCCAGGCTGGTCTCGAACTCACAGCGATCCTCTTGCCTCAGCTTCCCAAGTGCTGGCATTACAGGTGTGCGCCACCACGCCCAGCAAGACCATAATGTTAAGTGGAATAAACCAGACACAGAAGCTTCTGATTTCTCTTATACAAGAAACCCAATATATAAATAAAGCACAAAATATGACAATAAGAAAAAGAGAGAAAGAAAAGTAATTATAATCCAGCATAGCCAATATATCGAAAAGTATATCTTCATTTAGTATGGTTGTTTTTCGTGTTTTATATGTTTTTTGGTCTGTTAGTCTGGCTGTTACTTTGTTTATGATTATTAACTTGATAAAGATTTTAAAATAAATAAAGCAAAAAATTTAAAAATTGCCTATATATATATATATATATACAAAAAATAAAGTTGAAGAAAAAATTAGAATATAAAAATGGTTATCTTTGGGCTGAGCATGGTGGCACACACCTGACATCCCAGCACTTGGGAGGCTTAGGCAAGAGGATCACTGTGAATTCAATCAAACCCAGGCTGGGCTATACGCTGAGATCCTAACTCAAAAAACAACCAAACAAATAAACGCAATAAATGGTTATCTTTAGATGGTGAGGTTATAGAGGATTTTTATTTATGTTTCATTTTTGCAGTGAGTGTACTGTATTTTTATCTGGGAAAAAATACCTTATAAGAAAAGGTGGTTTTGTGGATCTGAATACTAAAGGAGACTTTTTTGGGAATGAGAACTGGGGATCAAACCCAGGGCCTCACACATGCCAGAAATGTGCCCTGACCTCTGAGCCATGTCCCCAGTCCCCAATTTTTGTCTTTAAAACAGCAACAGTCTGACAGGACCAAACACATTTCTAGGACTAGGTAATGGCTGGGGGAGGGTGTCATTACTTTTATGATTTTATTACTGAAATTTTGCATGCTTCAATTTAAAAAATAATGGCAAAAAATAAAACTGACAAGCCATTGGTATGAAATCAGATCACTGCTGTTCAAGTTCTCTAGTGGGTTCTACTCACTTTCTGCCCTGATCAAGACAGTTAACATTTCTGGGACTATTACTTTTCTAATTTTTTTTTTTTTGGTACCGGGAATCGAACTCAGGACTTTCTGCTTGCCAGGCAAGCATTGTGCCGCTGCCTTACTTTCCAATATTTGTGTATGTTTTGACTTGTTCCAAAATGGATTTGAATTGGCTTAATACCCAAAGGGGATCAGATACATGGAACCATTTTAAAAAGTAAAGTCACTGTAACAATGTAAGCATAAAAATTTTTTGTGATACCTCACAGTCTAACTAAAGCATTTTTTTTTGTTTTGTTTTGGCCTGAAAAAAATACTATTTAATTGAAAGAGGATTCAACTGGAGGATTCTACTCCACTCCCCTAGGACTAAAGAGATCAGACTCCATACATTACCTCACAGCCATTTCATATGCTGTTCCCAGGACTTCCACAAAAGCAATGCCCAGGGCTGCCGGCAGCATATGCTTCCTCAGACAGACCCCGATCCTCTCCACACCGCCGTGGGTATGGACTGAATGCACAGTGAAGCCAGTTCCACAGCCTGCAGTGATGCTGACAGAGCAAGAGTCCAGAACTCAGCCCTTGAGCATGCTAGGGCCGTTCTGCCCAGCTGTGTAGTTCGCAGCCCCACGTACTTACACTCTCCCTACAATTTGTCCAGGAATGAAGCTATGCCATTGTTTGGGGGGTAAGTCTGCATCTGCTGCCAGAAGTCCTTGTGAAACTCTGGTATCACCTTGTCTCTAAAAATATACCCAGCAATGGCTGCAGCCACCTCCGCTAGCATAAGAGGCAGGAAGATGGCGATGATCATAAGACAGCCATTCTTCTTGCAGGCCCCACAGCAGCCCAGAAAAGCCACCAGAAACAGACAGCCACTCACTGCAATCATGAGCACAGGTAACGGTGCAAGGGTAGCCTTGTGGGTCTTGGTCCCATTCAGGACAAGCTAGACTGCTGTACCCAAGGCAAGCACTCCCAGCCCACAGGCATAAAACACCAGCAGAAGAATATAGAGCAAGAATTTGACACAGTTTATTGTTTCTTCCACCGCCTGGCTGCTGGGACCTACCCACAGAATATATTCACTGAATCCCATCCAAGAAAAAGAATTTTGAAGACTGGTCAGTAAAAGACAGGGAAAAGATTTGTTGAAGAGAAAAAAGGACACACTCAGAAGGGAGTGTGAGCATTTAGAGAATGAGATGCCAAGGAAAGCATTGATTGGGTGCTCCATGCTGTGTCTCAGTTTATAACAGTATTTTCACATAAGTAGATTCATTTGCTATACATGCACCATGAGCTTCTAAACCATGAAAGCATTATAGTAGAGTAGTTAAGAGCTTGGTTTCTGGTGGCAGATTATCTGGGTTGAAAACTCTGCCTTCCTTTACTATGTGACCTACAAGTTATGTAACATCTGTAAACACATCTGACCTCAGAGTCTCCACCTGTAAAATAGGCTAATAGCATTGACATCTTGAGGATAGTATCATTATATTAGATGATACACCTGAAGCACTTAGAACCACAGCTGGCACATAGGAAGGGCTCAGTAAATTGTTATTAGCTGTCTTTAAAACAGATAGTAGGAAATAGGGAGGAGATAGATCTTCCGCAAACAGTAAGGGGACCAAGACATGGAGAGAGGGGAGAAAAAGGAGAAAAGAGGGGAAGTAAAAAGAATTAAGATAGGAGGGGCTGGGGATTTAGCTCAGCGGCACAGTGCCTGCCTAGCAAGTGCGAGGTCGTGAGTTCAATTCCCGGTACCAGAAAAAAAAAAAAATTAAGATATGTAAATGCATGTACCAACTCCCCACAATGAATATAATCATTATGTTCTGCACACATGTACTAATAAAAATGAAAATTAAAAAAGAACAAAGTACTACATAGAATGATAGAGATTATACATACATAATTCTATGTCACTAAATCTTTGTCATTTGAATAACAATGTTTTAACTGCAAAGATTACATGAACTCTCTTATATCTTGCTAATTCTCTAAAATCACAGATTGA